TCTGTCAAATGCTTCATCCGAACTCCAAATGCTCCATCGGTTTCTAGATGATCCATTGTGCATCCAGATGCTCCATTGAATTCTAGATGTTCTATTAAATATCTAGATGTTCCATTCATTTTCTAGATACTCCATTGAATTGTCAAATGCTCCAACTCTCATTTCAAGTCTTCAATTCTAATATCACATTTAAGAGAGGCTTTTTATAAACTCGATTAAAATATCAAGACTTTACTAAATATTTCTCATTTGTAAATTAGAAACATTATAATTTAATAGCTAAGGTTCAGACTAATCATAATCCAAGAGGAGGTGTTTTATGATTTTTAAAATTGTGTGATGTTTCGGATGTCATACTACAATCATAAGGATTTTTTTGATATAAAATATATTTTGATATATTATTATGTAGATTTTAGGTTTTTCATGTGGCTACGCCCCTTATTGTTAAAGATCTTGTAGATGCCTATATTTTTAATTATGAGAATTTCAATTTGATTTGCTGATGGTGAAGTTTAATTGACATAAATTATAGCTTCCCACGCACATGTCACCATTTCCTAATCAGATCGGTTGCTTGTGGAACAAAAAGTCAATATGGCTAAAAGTTGTTTAGTTGGAATGATATTGTAACTAGAGTACAAATAAAGTTTCTTCTTCCTCAATTTCACTGTGCAAATCCAGGTGGCTATGTGTTCTTCCTATGGTGATATGTGTGTGTTCTTAATTTGATCAATGTTGCCTGTTGAATTTTACTTCAAATCTGAGTGTGATAATCGGTTTTTGCTTATATATGAGCACAAGTTCTAATTTTTTTAGTCAACTGATCATTTGCTTTGTAAGAAATAATAAAAATAATACTAATTAAGTTCAGGGGAGAAAAAGATTTTTGTTCTCGAAAAGAATCCACTTGGACGCCATTTTAACATGCTTAACTTCATTAACTCCATTTTAATGACCAAATTTATATAATTGCAAAATTCTACGTTAAATGGTAATTAACAAACTCAATCCTACTCTAATAAAAGAAAAGAGTACTCCGTTAATGTTAAAAATGAAATTCCAAAACTACCCTGCAACTGCTATAAGTATAAAACCCATTTTCGTTTCCTTCACTCCTATTTAGTTGACTTCCTGATCCACTAATAAGGATGGTAGACAGTTTCATGATTTCCTGATTTTTTAACTTAGTTGACAATTATGCACTTGTTTATATTTAGAGGGGATAATTACTAATCTAACCAAATTAAAAAAGTGATTAGCAACTTCTATTCAAATATTAGTAAATGTCCAAATATAGCCCATTAAACCGTAGGTTTCTATATTCGTCTACTGTTTCGCCAATTCGTCTACTGTTTCGTGTTTTGTATAATTTTTTTGTTTTAATTTCTAAGATACAAAACCGTAGGTTTTTTAAAACCTACTATTTTCTCTCGGTTTAGCTACGATTTCCCAAACCGTAGCCTACCATTTTAGTAAAAAAATACGGTTTTTTTTTTTAAGTTTATTGTTTTAGGGTTTAATCTACCGTTTTGTCAAAAGAAACTACAGTTTTAATTTTTTTAATTTTTTTTTTGTGATATAGAGTATTAAAAATAATGTTTATAAGATGTAGAATTATTTTAGCAATTATTTTGTTAAAAATTTTTGAAAATTCTAAACAGTAGACTTAAAAAAAAGTTTAAAATAAAAAAATAAACGTATTTTTTTTTGTGATATAGAGTATTAAAAAGAGTGTTTATAAGATGCAGAATTATTTTAACAATTATATTGTTTATAAAATGTAGAGTTGTTTTTTGACAATTATTTTGTTAAAAAAATATTTTTTGTAAAATATAAACTAGTTTTTTAAGAATTAATACAATAATTTTTTGCTAAATTGTAGATTATTTTTTTGAAATTTGTTGACTGATTTTTTTGGTAAATTTTACCATTTTTTCGGTAAACTTGACTACTTTTTTTTCCGAATTGAATAATGTTTTGCTAAACTTGACTACTTTTTGTCAGAGTAGATTACTGTTTTGTTAACCATGATTATTTTTTTGTCAGAGTGGACTACTGTTTTGTTAAACTTAACTACTTTTTTTTGTCAAAGTGGATTACTGTTTTGTTAAACTTGACTATTTTTTTGTCAGACTGGACTACTGTTTTGAACCTACCATATATATATATATATATATATATATATATATATATATATATATATATATATATATATATATATATATATATATATATATATTAAGTATTTCATATTTTTGAAATTATTTCGTATTTAGAAAACTGCACTTCTCTTTAGCTTTTTTATTCTCAAAATTAACATAATGAGTTGTAACGAGTATTTCGTATTGCTTATTATGGATGGAAGATGGGAATTTGTTAATTCCCAATTATCATATGTTTGGCCACCTGAATACAATCCGAAAATGTTTTATTTAGGTGTTGAATTTTACAAAACCACCACGTTCACCGAATTTGTTCATTTGGTGAAGTGCAAGATGGGTCTTCCCGAAGAATCAAAAGTCAGTCTGGCTTATCAACATGCAAAACAACTCTATTAATGTGGTATTGTTGATGATCATGATATTAGAAAGCTAATCAAGGTAATAAATGTCGTTGGAGATAAATTTGTATCTGTCTATGTGGTAGTTGAAGAAGTCGTTTCGCGTAACGAAGTGGATGATAGACGAAAGGCATCTGCAACTAATTTATCAAGTGGAAAAAGGAGCAACAACCCAATAGGTAATTTTAAAAGTACAAGCAAAAGTCAATATCAAAGTGTCGCTGAAAATGTAAATGTAGTGCATGTAGTGCCAGAACCGATTATGTATGTTACACCGGAGAATTATAAGTATATCGGTGATAATGATGTTGGTACATATGTTAATGATGGTGTAAATCCTTACTTTGACAAAAAAAAAAGCACTAGACGTGGTGAATAAGGTTGGTAATGAATCTGGAAAACAAGATGTTCCATTTTTGCATGATGGTGAACTAAAAGGATATGGCAAGTTTGCGGATTATGACAAGTTGGATATATCCATCCTAGAGAGTGATTCTAACGGAGCAGAATTTGATAATGAACCTAAACTTATTTATTCTGATACTATGTTTCATGGTATGCCCCCATTGCATTCGTGTCCTATAAACGATGATATGAACATTCCATGTCAGAGGATGGATATAAATGAAGAGATTAAGGTTCTAGACATTTTTTATTACAAAGAGTTGTTGAAGCTTGCAATTGGAAGACAATGTATGGAACAAGGTAAGCAGTATAATACTACCAGATCGAGCAAAGAAAGGTTCGAGGTGGTTTGTTTGGTAGAAAATTATTCTTTGATGGTTAGGGCAAGCGGAATCAAATTAACTACTGTTTTCCAAGTCAACAAAGTTGTTGACCAACACACTTGTTGTGCAACAAACTTGGAGTCTAATCATCGACAATCAAAGAAAAAGGTAATCGGCCACTTTATCGTTGAAGTATTGGCCGGAGATTATAATAGAGTTTATCGGGGTAATGAAATTGTGAGGGACATCAATTCGAAATTTCCAATCAATATCTCATACCAACAGGCATGGCAGGCAAAACAATATGCGTTGTTGATGTTAAGAGGTACCAAAGCGGATTCATTCACTAAACTACCAACGTATTACATATCTGCACAACTTGGTCAAGCATAATCCAGGAACTATTACTCAGATAAGAATAGATGATGATGATCAGTTTGAGTTCGTGTATATCGTGTTAGGTTGCTCGGTAAGTAGTGATATTTTTTTATAACAAATATAACATATGAATCCTAATTGGTATTTGTTAATGCCATCAAAAATAATTGTAGGTATACCTGCTCATCAAATATTGTAGGTCAACCCTAATAATTGATGGTGGTCACTTAAAGTGTCAATTCAAGGATACGATGTTGCTCACAGTGACAATGGACAATCAAAACCAAATCATGCTTGTTGCTTATGCCATATGCAAAAGTAAATATACGGAGACATGGTCCTGGTTCCTTCGAAAACTAAGTGAATGTATAGGCAACGTGGAAGACCTTACATTGATATCTGATAGGGCTCCATCCATAGCAACGCCAATTGCAAAGATATTTCCTCACGCCCATCATGGAATATGTGGTATCCATTTGTATTTCAACATTTCAGCAAAATTTGGAAGCAGCGATACAATACACACGTTATTTTGGGAGACATGGAAAGCCTATAATATTAAAAAAAATCGATAATGGGATGAAAAAAATTAAAAAGGTAAATGATCGTGTATGGGAATACCTACAAAACATCAATCCAAAAAGATGGGCTAGGGCACATTTTCCCGGGAATCGGTATTTTCTTATGACATCAAATAGTGCAGAGTCGATAAAATCAATGTCAAGATTTGCAAGAAAGATGCCAATATTGATGTTGATTGAGTATTTCCGTGCAACAATGCAACAATAGAGTTTTTAGAAATGTAATGTTGCAGGTACTAATATTTTATATATAATAGTACTTGAAATATTATTTTACTACTCATATGATATTATATCAATTTTTTTAGCTGAAGCAAAAACAACACTCACCCCATGGGCTGAAACGATTATAGAAGCAAATAAGAATGCTTGTAATAATTGAATGGTGTATCCTATCTCAAATAGTAGATTTGAAGTGAAAAACTCTACTCACAAAAGTGTTATTATTGATTTCCAACATAGAACTTGTACATGTAGGCGGTGGAAAATAGATGGCTTATCTTGTGGCCATGTCATAAAAGTGCTCACAGTGAACCGTTATGAAAGCTCTACTCACAAAAGTATCATTGTTGGTTTCCCAAAACTCTACTTCCATTTTTCCATTGTATAACCGATGTTTCCAAAAAAATAGTCGGTTTGTTTCCCATGTATAGAGCATGGGCGTTACAACCCGAATTCACATACGACTCCAATAAAAGTGTCGAGGGATCGCTGACAAATATGGGGGGGGGGGGGGGGGTTCATTGCGTATTACCTCACCTGTATGATACCGGGATGCATTTTGAACCTACATTATATAAACAGTCAATAACTATCCATACAATAATAAAATTTTGAACATACTTACCGAAACATATGGAGAGCTAAGATATTGAGAAGGTTTCAATTGCCTAACCGGACAACATGCTTTCACATTAAGAGGCTCGGGTATATGATTTTCTGCATCCACAATCTCGCTAGCAACAACCTTCTTTTTCTTCTTGTTCTACAAGAAACATATTAATTTTTTAATATATTTTGATAAAATAAAAAGTTTAATATACAAAAAAAAATTATAACCTCCTTCACGATTTGTTTTTGTTTTCTACGATCAAACTCCGGTGGTTTATCAACGTCATCGTCCTCGTTTACTCGATTTGATTTCTGTGGACTACCAACCACATTATCATTCCCCTACATTTAAAGAAAAAATAATTAATAAAAAGCTTCGTTAAAAAACTAATTAATACATCATATTTCTTCAAATTGATAGTAAATTTCTAAAATTAATTATTTTACCTCAAAAGCTTCGTTAAAAAATTCTTGCAAGTCATCATCGTCTTGATTTCCGCCTTTATTTTTCAACCCTCGGATTTCTTCCTCCAAAGATTGAAGTCTTGCCATTATTTCTCGCATGGTTTTTTTGTTAAAAAAATTCTTGCAAGTCATCATCGTCTCGATTTCCGCCTTTATTTTTCAATCCTCAGATTTCTTCCTCCAAAGATTGAAGTCTTGCCATTATTTCTCGCATGGTTTTTTTGTTAATTCCCACCGTATGAGTTCCCTCGATGGACTTGGTAGATTTGTTGTTTCCACTGGATGGATCAGACGAAGGTGTCCCGTACATAAATTATTTCATATATCAATAATAGTTGAAAACTTTTAATATACTAGATTCTGCTTTTACATATTTACTTACATCATTTCTAAAGTTGTAGCATACAGAAGAAGGGACTTCAGAGATTCAAAATTCAGACTAGTAATATATGATAAATAATGTGGAGTAAAGGACACAACATCTGAGGCAATCATCTTTTTTTTGGGATGATGTGCCTCGTCCTGATCAACATCGAAAATATCGCAAACTTTCTCCCCAATTAACCTCCTAATATGAAACCACCGCCAGATACGAGGATATAAATAATTGTGTCGTATCACAACATTTCCCCGAATTACTGGGAACATCTCCCATATCCATATCTTGTAATAAATATACATTAATTTATAAGTGTTAGCACTAACTAAAATTATCAAAAAAATAAAAACCAAAAAATTTATAAATATTTTTTTAATTAGTTAAATATACCTTCAAAGGAATAACAAAATCCGATAGTGTACACACAATCGGTTTTGTTGGATGATTGGACATATTTTCCTAAAATTTCTTAAACATACCCGACAATCTAGGGTATGTTTTAGTCCATAGATAACTCCCCCACCAGAACCTATATTATATGCAAAATTATTAGTTAAACGTATAAAAATGAGTACTTTATTATAAATATTAAATTGACAAATACATATTCCATTGATCAAGGTTCTCCACCACCCACAAAAATTCCTTGGTGACTTTATCATTAAGCTCCTTTCCTAAAAAAACCTTGATTGAGGATAAACAAAATGGCACGGACATCGTCGTGAGCTGATATATCATTGAACCTTTGATTCAATATAAGGAGCTCTAAATCTTCTACAAGTAAAGAAGTGTTCGTGCGATATGGGAAAACTCTGGACCGAAATGTATTTTCATAATATCCGTGTTTATACATAGTTAAGAATTCGATCCTTGATCTAGGACACCGGCCCATGTAAAATTCGGTCACAAGACAAAACTCCTCTGGCCCAAATGACAGTGTACGTCTAGAAAACCTAAAATGTAGACGCTTAGCTGCGTCCGTTTCAGCAGTAGGACGCAACAGATGCAATAACAACCCATGAATAAGAAGTCCATCTCCGGACTGAGTTGGTAGGTCTAACAAATAACCGAAGCTAGTTGTTGAAAAAAGATTGTGCATGGGTCCGTTCAAGCCACTCAAAACTTCATGCAACTTATGACATGAAGCTTTGACAGATAAGTGACCCATCGTCCTCTTGTTTGGAAGCTACAAAATTAAATAAACATTAAGGTTAAATAAAGTTTTATAAAAGAAAAATAGTGATAAGCAATTAGAGAAAGTACACAATATAAGACTTAATCATTTCATATATTCTATTTACTTTGTATAAAATACCAAAGGAAATTAATTAAAAACACTTTTTGTATTTTCTATGCTAATAGTATATCAAATATAGTATTGTACTTTGAAAATGGTGTCATAATAATATATTTTGTAACAAACCCGAAACTACCAAAACACAATGTTATTTTATCAATAGATAATACCTTAAAATGTCTACCATTATAAACATAGAAACTTCATCAAATGGAAAGTACATTGCTATTGTATGCTATAATCGCGACATAGAAAATAACATACTTTATCACAAAATGAAGACATGAAATTATTACATATACACAATCGTTAAAAATAGGTAGGAACATTATTTTTTTTGAAGAAAAATGAAAAAAAAATAGTAGATTTTAGGAAACCTAAGGTTTCAAGATTTTTTTTCTAAGAAAAAAAAATCACGGAATCGATATTGTTTTTTTTCTAAAAAAAATCACGGAATCAATAATTATAATTTTTTTTATTAAAAACCCGAAAAAAAAACCGTAGGTTTTTTGGAAACCTACGGTGTACAACCCTTTAACGCACAAACTGTTCAATAATTTGTTATACACCGTAGGTTTCCTGGAAACCTACGATTTCGCTATATATATATATATATATATATATATATATATATATATATATATATATATATATATATATATATATATATATATATAGAGAGAGAGAGAGAGAGAGAGAGAGGGAGAGTCAAGATAAAATAAGAAGGAAAAAGGTATGAAGGTAAGAACTTTTTTTTTCTACATATTTTTTTCGCGAAAAAACAAAATGATTCATTAGATGATTCATTTGTAAGATTATTTACAAGAAACAATTCTAAAAAAACATCTCGATGATTCATTTATATAATGATTTTGTTGTTATTCACTAAAATTGTCATAAAAGTGAATTTTTTCTTAATTTATTTAAAAATAAATCATAAAGATGTTTTTTTGGGAATTTTTTTGTTGTGAATCATCTTACAAATTTATCATCTAGTGATTCATTTTTTTTGTTCGTCAAAAAAATATGTAGAAAAAAAAACTTCTTACCTTCCTACCAAAAAAAATTTCTTACCGGATCTATATATATATATATATATATATATATATATATATATATATATATATATATATATATATTGCGTTTTATGAAAAAAAAATCATCAATATATTACATATATACAATTCTGATCGTGTAGTATCAAATCTAAAAAAAAAATATTTTTCCGTACGGTTCATACGAAACCGTAGGTGTACAAGTCAACAATGCACAATTTGTGCATTGCTCACTTGTACACCGTAGGTGGTTTTATTTTTATTTTTCTATTTTTTCAAAAAAAAAAAAAACTTAACCATATATTGTCACACCCCCAGACCAAACGGCAGAAATGTCCGGAGGCGGGTGACTTCATTGTGCAGTATCATAACAATTGAATATAAATGAAACAGAGCAATCCAAACATCATACATTGAGATGCCAAACTTACATTGTTTACATATTGTATTTGTTCTTCGGATTACACAAAACGTACATAAGTAGAAAAGAATCCAAACTACATCTGAATAGCCTTGCATCAGTGTCCCTTGTTACCTGCTTACTAGATCGCTGAGAATACAAGTCGTTTTGAAAAGCTTCAACTAAAAAGTTGGTGAGTTCATAAGCATTTAAGTATAAAATCATTTACACTTGAGTAGAATCGCTCTCATTGTACTTTCAGAAAATCCGATATTTTCTATGAAATCGATTGAAGTCGTGCCTTGAAAATCGTGGATATATGTATGCATGACATTACTTTTGTTCATCCTTATAAGGAGTGATTTTGAAAGGTAGTGTGATTTGTAAAAGCGAGCTGTGTCCGAGAATAGTTCCTTTGAGTGGTAACAATCAACCGTCTCAAGAAAAATCCCTTATTTTCAAAAAGGAAATATGGTTGAAAATCATGTTCCTCTTATCGAGTAAAATTGAGTGTGTGTTCTAGTTTATTATTATCTAAATTGTAGGAAAATCGTTTTCCCCAAATATCCTATGTTTCCTACTATAAAATAATCGTAAGTTCTAGTTTATCGTTATCAAAATCGTAGAAAATCGTTTTCTCCAGAAAATCCTATATTTTCTGTTATAAAATATTCGTATGTTCTAGTTTATCGTTATCGAAATAGTAGAAAATCGTTTTCTCTAGAAAATCCTATATTTTTTGTTATAAAATATTCGTATGTTCTAGTTTATCGTTATCGAAATCGTAGAAAATCGTTTTCTCAAGAAAATTCCATATTTTTTGTTATAAAATATTCGTATGTTCTAGTTTATCGTTATCGAAAATCGTAGAAAATCGTTTTCCATAGAGTCCTATGCTTTTTACTTTGTAAAATAGCAGTATTTCGACTCTATGCTTGTTAGGAGAAAGAATCATGGCAATTGTAGACATTCTAGACGGTGAAAAGAAAGGACAGTCAACGCAACAAATGCGGACCATCAGCTATCACGTATAGGACAGTCAACACAACGTGCCAAAATTTATTTATGAGGTTTTTCCTTACATAAATTTCTAGTTAATATAACATATTCTAGTGAGTCGTTATAACCATACTAATCATGACGGAGTACCTGTTTTGGTGTTTCTCAGGCGCCCTCGGTTCGGAAAAGACATTTGTCACCCTAGACTGGCCTGTCTACCTATAGCGAACAGTGAAGGTGCGGGGTGTCAACCCCGTATAGATCTATACACAAATCCACGCTCTCCATCCAGGAGACTTTGGCTATAACTCCTTACAGGACTTAGACGTACACTAATATTTGTATATTTAGGTACTGTTGAGATTTGTCTGACTCGAATATTAACAATCTTTTGAGCAATCGTTGGAGATCCATTATTTGTTACATAAATAATTAAACTCGTACTTACTTAATAGAAATATTGTTCACGTTTCATATCGTTGATTGTGCTCGTTAATTGGTTGCTCGTGTTCGTTCCTTTTCGTTTATTGAAAAAATGAGTCGTTTTAGTCAAGAGAAAAAGTGTTAAGTTATAATTTATATAAATTTATAACTGCCGGTTATGACATGCATTTTCTGTTTTATGACATATATAACATTATTTGTGTTCTCGGAGGTTTTATGACAGCATCTTATGACATGCAAATATTTCTATCATAAAGGCTCTACTTGTATATTTTCTTGACGCAAACTTTTATGTTGAATATTTATAAAATACTCCCTGATAGTTTGCAAAATAGTCACAAAGTTCGTATTTTCGAAAATCAATATAAATGGTGTCCACTTAGTAAGGTCTCTTTTTATAACTTTTGTCTTTAGACATGAAAACATAGATAAAGGGGTTAAGTTGGACACACTCAATAGTTGGGAGGCTCTTCTGTTCAAAGTATCCTCTGTTCTTTGTGAAATTTAGAAATCCTTCGTTCATGAGTATATTACTAAATAATAATTTAATAATATTCACACACATACAAACATGCGTATATATGTAATCATTTAAGAGTTTAGGCAAGATTGACTTGTACTCTCCCCCAAAAACATTAAAACATGGAAAAGGTGGGGTATGAAGCTCGCCTTGAGTTGGTTGAGGAGTTTTTTAGAGTTATGGAGTGAAGATCTCAAGCTTAAACTCTTGTTGAGATGAGGAACTTCCCTGGGAGGGATGCTTTCCTAAGGATGATCATCACATATTATTATGAATAAAATAATATGGATTCATCTTGAAATATTATAAAATATTGGATGAGTGGAGGAGTTTACCTTAAAATTTCCGAGGAAGAAGTTGAGAAATTTCCTTTTAGCAAGATCCCATGTTCTTGCTTGAAGATGAGTTTTTGAGAAAAAATGGGAAAAGTGAGAGAGGATGTGGAGTCTAAACTCCCTCATTGTCGTTGCTTTGGAGTACAAGAAAAGGAAAGGAATCTTTGATGCATGGGGATCTTGTGGTCCATGCATGGGTATTTGATGGGTAAAACTTGGAATACTATGATTTGCATGGGAAATGAGGAATTTCATCAAATCACAAGGTCAATCCCTTTGTCCTTTTCTTGAGTTAGCATAAGGTTTTCCTAAATCCTAACCATTTATTTTTATGAAGAGTATGCTTAAAATAATTAATTTTAGCATAAAATAATGGTTTTAGGGGTCTCAGTTAAGAAAAGCACGAGTTTGGTGGGATTCCCGACCTCAAAATATCTTAAAATGATAAAAAGGTCCGGAATAGTCCAAAATCCGAATTCATAAGGTGAAATCTGGAGCCCTTATGCGAATTCCGAAGCCCTTAGTTAAATTCCGGAGGGGAGAGGAGGGTTTGCGAGTTTCCAAAGTGGTTGGCAGGGGGGTTCCGGAGGCGCTGAATGAGTTCCGAAGTAAACAGTACTTTCTGGAGTCATCAGGCGGAGTTTCGAAGTTAGAAGCAACCAGTGGTCCGGACCGAGGTGCTTCCGAACCAAAGTGGGGTAAGAACTTTCGGAGCTGCGAACCTATCCGGATGAGAGGCTTCCGATATGAGCTTCCTCTTGGCCTCCTTAGAAGACCTTCTGGACTAAGAGGTTCCGGACCAAGAGGTTCAGGACCAAGAGGAGTCCTGGCCAAGAGGGTTCCGGACCAAGAGGGCCCTTTTGGGGGTCTCCTCCGGCTTCCTCGCCTCCTCCTTCACGCTGGTAAGTGATACTCGAATTCTTTATGTTCGATTTTGGTGTTGGGTTTTATCTATGTTCTTGTTGTTCTCTCCATCAAGCTTCAACCACCGATTTCTCAGTTTTATGCATGTTTTTTGTTGCGTTTTTGTTGCTGGGTTGTTGGATTGCATTTTTTTTGTTTGAATATTGGGGTTGCTTGTGTTTGATCTTTATTCTTGCTGATTTTGCTGTTATATA